AAATACAGGCCATTTACCACCATTGTACCTCTCTCGTGACCTCCTCTGTCACCAATGATGACAGTTTAACCAAAATTTTCAGTTTTGGATTCACCACTAAATTTTCAGTGCAGGTCTTGTGTAATTGTTAAAAATGGCTTCTTTCAGTAAATGAATCAACTGAAAGGCCAGATGACTCTTTTGGGTCCTTTGTCAGGTCTTTATTGGATTGTTTTCCAATTTCTTAAGGACTCCGCTCTCAGATACTTTTCATCTGCCACCTCTTCTTTTGTCCTCTACTTGTCCATTTTCCTCAAATTTTTAAGTAAACACTGCACACCATGCTCAGATAGGCCACTTTTTGGTTAATAGCTCATTGGGAATCATTTTTTATTGCAAAAATACTATTTTATTGCTGTAAACTGTGTTATCTTTGGCATTTTTTCACAGAAAGTAATGAAAACAAACTGTGTATTTTGGCTCTTTGCTAAATATGATAAGTGTAATATATGTTATATGTCATGTAATATGTTAAGTACCTCTTTCATGGTTGAATGATTCATAAGTCAGTGTTATGTACTGTAAAAAAAAATCCTCTGAAAATGATCAGGTAAAAGGAGTGGATTGAAATGTCCAAAGAAAAATTTAAAAGGCCCGTCATAAAGCCTGGAAACATATTTCTCGGGACTGCGTTGGGAAAATCACGCGGGACTCTGGCTTCTTGGAAGCATAATATGAAGAAATGAGGGGTAGCTCAAGACTTTTGCACAACACAATATAGTAATGGTTACACAGCATCCGCCCAACACCAGCATGTTAGCGTTCCCACTGTTGGCATTCCAGGCTAGCATTAGCATTTAGATTGAGACTTTAATTTTCTGTCAGCACAGATTGGCTCTTGCGGTAGACTAATCTAAGAACATAAAACATTTCTATCACAACACTTGAAGGCATACTAATAAATCAGAGCTGACTTGTGCTATTGTCACATAACACTGCTAATATGCAAATGGGAGAATGACGAGGCTTCTCCTTAACAGCAAATTTGTTTATGGCTATTTGCATATGGCCAGGATCTTCCGGAGCTTCCTGATCACCAATCATTAGTTTAGTTAAATCATATTCTAGATCTCGCATGTTGTGCTCTGCCACAGCAGGACCTGTATCCTATATTCTTAATCAGGCTCATTTTTGTTTTGTTTTGTTTTTTTTAAAGAAAAGAAAAGAAAAACAACTTGATTGCAGTTCTTACTAAGCAGCAAATAAATGACTGTAAGAAATTCATGTGCTGGAATTATTTATTTATTCAGCCTTGGTGTGATGCAAGTATCTCCCATGTCTAGGTTAATGTTGGTCAACAGTTAGTAGAATTGAAATCACAGTCAAGCTCTCCCTTCCTCAAGGTACCGCAGACATGGACGGATGCCCTGTCTCTCCCAACAATAACACTTTGCATACAGATTTCCATATATTCCACTCGTGCTGGGCGTGGGTCATTTAGATTTGTTCACTCACTTGACTCTCTCATTTCCAAACAATCACAACCCCATCTTCAGTCTGGCAGGATCTTATCTCTGTCTCCCTTTGTAGAGGACGAGGAGATGGCGATAAAGTGAGTTACTGCATATTTGATTATTGGGCCTTTACCATTTTCAGCAGGAAACAACTTACAGCAGCCATGTGGAAAATGCCAAAAGGCTTTCCATTCACTGTAAGTCTAACTTTGGACTGTGTCTATTTCTGAAGGGGTCTTGTATTGATAGGAGGTTGCTCTCAGGTGCTTGATGCATTTAACAAATCTTTGAGATGTCTTAAAAAGACGCTTTGCAGGTACGGTTTGCAGGTGGGGTGTTGTAATGTGGGGGGGTCACAGACATTTGGGCTAGTGATAGATCTTAATGCTCTTTTCAAGGGTAGATTGTGTTGCTTTCCCACGGATCCACTTGGGGATGTTGAGACTTGGAGTGAGTCTGTGGACAAAGTCCTCAGCTGTAAAGGTGAGAGTCTCTTCTGATTCTGTATGATATATATTTGCTTGCATGTGCATGGTTCCCACTCGCTTACTCTGGTCTGTGACTTCTAGCCGGGCAGATAGCTTTCCGGGAGTTCCTGAAGTCAGAGTACAGCGAGGAGAATATACTGTTTTGGCTCGCCTGCGAGGAGTACAAAAAGATTAAGACAGTCCCAGAGATGATCTCCTCCGCCAACCGGATCTACTCTGAGTTTGTCCAAACAGAATCACCAAGACAGGTAAATAATTTGAGCATATAAAACAGGATTTTGCTGGAATTAAATTTTCATATTAATTTTTTAGCAGTTAGTAGATCTATAGTCACATAGCATCTGCAATAAAACTGTGCATTTCATGGCGGTAAAATTGCAGAAATGTAAGCAGATTTCTGTGCAGACAGACAGCAGGTGATGATGGAAGGAACAGCTGTAATGTAGTTTTTGTATGACATTGCTTGATTCCAGATCAACATAGACTGCGGTACAAGAGAAAACATTACAAATAACATCTCCAAGCCGACCCTGGCTTCGTTTGATACAGCTCAGAAGCACATTTACAGTCTGTTGGCCAGGGATTGCTACCCGCGGTTCCTAAAATCTGACATCTATCAGGGACTCCTGAGGAGAAACGATTCAAGGTGACTGTATTAAAAATGACGGCCTCTCAGGCCGAGGCTCATGATGTCTTCGGCTCAATTCTGATCTGCTGTAGCACTCTTTGATTTCAGTGTGGATAACAGGTTTATCCTATACAATCCAGATCCTTAGTCTAGTGGAGGTAGTTTTTTTTTTCTCAGTCTGTGTGATTTAGTAGCTTAAGTTGAATTTACAGCTTGTATTATACTTTATCCCTTAATTAAGTAAAAAAAAAAAGTCTTTTCTTTTGTTTTCTCCCGTCCCACATACAGTTAATAATGAAGATAATTCCTTTATTGTAAAGTATTATCAACGCTTTATATAACACTTCGTGCAAATATAAACTGTCTTACGCTCTGAGAACTTCCACTTTCTTATGCGAATAAATATTGTTACATTTCTGCCTCAGTTTTGTGTTCTATGGAACGTTTTCTTGTCTGCTTTGCATGCACTTCTTGAAATATCAAAAAACAAAACCTATTCAGCCAAGTGACATCTGGGTGTGGTCTTTTTGTATGCAATGCAAATCATCTGGGTTACTGTAATGTGGTCATTTGTCACACAAACAGCAGATGGCAACAGAGTTCTTTACGTCGTTCATTAAACAAGAAGCGCAGCCTGGGGACAATGAAATACTTGAGACTTCCACTAAAGTTTCTGTGTCATCTGCTCGGCAGTTTTAAGAAGTCAGAACGTTTACGTGAAGAGGAACTGCATGAATCAGGAGTTTGAATCTACATTTGCCTCATCAGACGCGGGCTTGTGGGTGTGCACTTTCAGTCACAACTAAGTTAGTTTAATGTTATCCCTAAAAAGTATTTTATATCCCTTCAAAATGTTGTGAGGCAGTACAGTTTTTAGAAAGTATGACACAGTTCTCCTCTGTGCTTGTTTATTTCTGGCAGGGACAGGGTGAACTTTACTAGCTCATATAATAGTCTATGCAAAAATAATGCAAATGGAAAGAGCACACTAAAAACAGGCTCTCTATTACTTTGTATTTAGACATAATGTTCAGGTCCACAAAAACAAGACAAAAAAGAGAAAATGTTCATATGAAGGTAATATGAATCAACATAATGAATGTCAAGTACAAAATACCACTTTTTCACTGATGTCCCTTTTTTTGTTTGGAAAGTGGATGTGGGCGCAGCATGGTTTCTCCGTGTGACTACTCAGTGGTGGATGGACATTTTTTTTTTCAGTTTCTGTTGGTGGTACTGAGTGTGAGGGCTGGCGGGGGGATTTATTTTAATAGCTGTTTCAGATGTTTGAAAGACGGCGTTCTGTTTTGTGCAGACATATTGCCGCAACTTCCTCTTCTTTGAGACAGCGCTGGTGGCTCTCACCTCTTTGTGGGAGGAAGACTAAGTTCACTGGGTTTGAAAAACAGGGTGTTTGCTCTACACACGCATTCATGAAGAAATGTGTAGTCGAGCAAAAACTGCAGGATACCGAACGCAGGAAGTGATAAAGACAAAAACGAAAGGTTCTGAAGAAGGTTTGGGTTCTCACAGTTACAACATTTGGAGGAAATTCACGGATGGGTGTTGCGACCGGTAAAGAAAATGAGATAACAATAACAGTAATGTCACCACAGGCACATCTGCATTTTGACAGAAAGTGTTTCCTGTCACTCACAAGAAAAGTACAGACAAAGCACTGTATACCTCAGGAGAAACTGATTACATTTACCGCTACACATGAATGAGGTTATGTACAGCTCCTTTTTTTTTCACAGACATGACTGTTGTTAGTTGCTCTTTTCCCCTTCATGCATTCCTAACATGTTCTTAACATTTGTTAACTCTTCAGCAGCCAGCGGCTTTCAGTTGATTTCACAACAGAGGGAATCTTGTGAAATCGTGCGAACATCTATTGCAGCCATAAAGACATTAGGATTCATTCTTTTAGCTGAGAGCGTAGATTTACTGAAACTTTACAGCAAAACATTACAAGTGAGTGAGGTGAAAGAGTAGTATGACGCTGAAATCAAAAGCAGATGATGAAAACAAATGACAAGTTATCGTTAAAAATCTCCAATAGCAGACTACCAGGTACAGTAAAGCAGCTGAGAGAGGCTTTTTGCTATAAGACAGGCTGCTACATCAGTACTAAACTAAAATACTTCAGCAACTGCTGGGTGATTTTTTTATTTTATTCATTTGTTGATGCTTGTTGATGATTTCCAGACAATAAATTCAACTCTATCTTTCTTCTCATGTTAGCTTTCTGTCTTAAGAACACACTAACAACAACAGATTAAAATTAGCCTGTAAAGCTAACCTTTTTTTTCCTTTGGCACTATCATTAGTCATATGAGCAAATAAATGAACTTAAAGTGCCCCAATGGCACAGCATGTTTTTCAATACTGCTAGACAGACTGCTGTGGGAACAGACAAGAGCCATATTTGTAGCATACTGAATAGCATTAGCATTGCAGTCATGCTAGGATGCTGAAAGTGGCACTCGTTCAAACACGATGGGTCCTGATGACTGTCACTTTGTCTTTGCCCTTAAATGTGGCTTTTAAACAAGTGAAACAGCAAAGGGGCGCACCAAGAAACTAACACTAACAGTGTTCATCTGTGAAGCACACTTATATCTGCTGAGTCATTTTACAAGATAGCTACAAAAGGAAGACAGAGAGCAACGCTGACCCATTTTTTTAGAGCAGCTAGAACCCTTAATAACTGGTTTCCAAGTAAAAATGATTTTAGAGTCAATTAGTGAATGACAGCTGTAAGGAAACCTCAACTCTTCTTAGAGATGCAGGGTTAGCAGCTGTTTGGCCTTCTCCTTGTTGAGGATTTAGTTATACAATACAAGAACTATGATGCAATATGATGAGGCATAACTGGAGCATAAGTGGACAATATTCATTCATACATTTTTTTGTCCATTTCTTAATAAAATCTCATCTGTTTAATGATAATAATAAGCTAATAATAGAAAATACTACTATTTAATATTTGACACACCGAGTGGCTCCAGAAATTAAAACATACATGAATTGTCCAAAGAAAAAGAAAGAAAAACAGGAAACAACTATTAAAGCAGTTCATAAAATGTTATTAACGTCTCATAAAGGTGTAACCTAGCTGACTAGTATTTCATTGTAAAGTTAACAGTCATTAAAAAAGGGGGGGGGGAAAGAAGAAGAAGAAGTTGACCTACATCTCCCACATGAAGTGCTTATCTGTGTTATCCGTTGCTTACATCACTGGGATTAAACTGGGGCACAAAAAGAGAGGAACTAAAACTGAAATGTATATAAATTTATGAATACAAAGGGGTTACTGGAATTTTAAAAACACTCTAGACCTCCAGAGAACAGATGAAAGGTTCCTGTCAACAAAGAAGCAGGAAGTGAAGAGTGAAACAGTTTCACGACTTGTTGTCTCTTAAGAGGTTTTGTTGGAGGACAGGGGAAAGCCAAACTGTCACAGCTCACAGGCCTGAGGAAGGATTAAGGATGCTGATCGAGGACGTTAGTAGTTTTTCCTCCATGATGTTGACCGATGTCAGGTTTTAGATCAAAATGTTTCCCGAGCTTTACGTTTCTAAAACAGTGATTGTGTTATACTTTCTGTGCCTTTGAGCTTCAATTGTGTCTAAAATGGAAACACTGAGGGGGCTTAGTGGTCTAAGAATCACACCACATAACCCACACTGTCCCTGGTTTGGTTCCGACATGTGACCTTTGTCGCCCCCCTCTCTTTCCCCCATGTTTCCTCTCTGCCTCCACCGGCAAGAGATTGTAAACAGAAACAAAACCCGTATTATAAAAGTCTGCCAAAAGACACAAGAGAAATTTACCACAAAGTGGTGCATAATTTATGAGGCAGTGTTTGAGCCGCAGTTAAAGTAGATACAAAAGAGGTGTGTCAGCATGTCAGCTGTTCTTGTATCATCTGACATTGAACCTTGAATTTGTTCACCATATGGGCGTTAAAATACTCATTTCTAGAAAGGTTAGGTGTCATGTGGGAGATTTATGAAACCATATAACATAGCTGGTTTGATTGCACAATCAGCTGCAAACACCAAAGGGGGGGATAAACTTTTACTAAGTCACTCCCACAAAGGCAAATTCAGTTCAGTTTAGTTCAGTTTAATAAAACTTGCTTTAAGGTGCTTTGTATTGTAATATAGAGACCCCACAATAATAGAGAGAAACCCCATCAATCAAGCGAGCCCCTCTGTGCAAGTATAGTGCGAGTATAATAACTTCAGTTTTATCTGAATTTAGAAGCAAGTAGCAAATGCTACTAAAGAACGAAGGTCTTCAGTTAGCTTTGACAAATTTACAAATAGCCAAAGCAGAACTATGATATTGCGTCAGGTTAGTTTATGTTTATTTAACATTTAGCAAATAGAGCCGTGGTGTCAAAGTCACTTTAGTTCCTGGTTTAGATGTACCCCAATTTGATATTAAGTGGGCAGATCAGTAAAAGAGCTGCACAATAACCTAACTTTCTTTTCATGTGATGCAGTACAAGGAAAGTTCACATTAAATAAGCCATGCATATACCTTTCAGACTATGACTACAAAGCAAAATCTCCAGTGTTAAATTAACACTAGAGAGTGTCTATATGGGTCCACTCCTCTGAGTGTTAAATACAACACTGTTGAGTGTTAAATTAACACTTTTGACAGTGTTATATGTTTAAAAGTAACCTAGTCAGTTTTGAAGATTAACAAAGACTAACACTGAGCAGTGCTGATTTTCTAACACTGGAAAATAACTCAAAATGTTAGAAATATTCCAGTGTTACTTTTAAACATATAACACTGTCAAAAGTGTTAATTTAACACTCAACAGTGTTGTATTTAACACTCAGAGGAGTGGACCCATATAGACACTCTCTAGTGTTAATTTAACACTGGAGATTTTGCTGTTTAGCGAGAGATATCTTATTACCTGTAGTTTAAAGAGCTTGAAAAACAGAGCAACTTGACTTCTTTAAGCTTTTGTGAAGACATTTCAGCTCTCATCCAAAA